CTGCAGCCATATTTTTAAAGATTTTTCTTAAGATGAGGGGTATTTTTACAAATTAAAGAAATCTCCCTATTTTTGATGTCAGAACTTGCTTCTTGATTTATTGCAAATTCTAAATTCTCCCTCTTTTTGAAGAAAAATCTCCCACTTGATCATCGAAAAAAGTTCACAATCATGTATGCATAAAAATTTAAAAAATTGCTGTGATTTAAATTAATGGGCCTTAAATAGGAATGACCTTATGAAATCTTGTCTATATGTAAACATATCAAAAGGTTATTGATTAAGGTTAAAGGGGAATTTATGTTGGCCCTCTTAGTAATGTTAAAGCTGCATGAAATAAAATATGTAAACATATTTTTTCCGTCGGCTTAAAACCCAAGCATTCTATAGTTTCGTTAACATTTTTAACAGTATTGTTGTAAATGTCATTAAAAATTGTTCATAAGTTATGATTTTAAAAGGAAAACCCCACGGTAACTCTAAAGTTAGTATACGAATTTTAACATGCAAGACTGGTATAATTAGCTGGTGTATGTGCTACTTCACAGTGGTAATTAAATCAATTGTTACCATGTGGATCACAGCAAACATGAGATATTCTGGTGCAAACAAACTTTTACTGTTTTAGTTTCACTGTGCATTCGCCCTGTTGTTAATAAAAACGTAATCATCTCATAAAAGATATCGAATTTGTATGAAAACTTCCGTAATATAATGCTGAAATATACCATTAAATTTGGACTGCTACTTTAAAATGTTTGTTGATTTTCTATTGATGTAAGGAATTTTGCCACCCAAAGGCGGAGTTTCTCATGCAAAAAGAAATTGTACTCCCAATTTCGCTACAATGAGGTTGCAAAATTGTAGGCTTATAAAACTCATTTTGTTTGTCTGGACACCAAAATAAGAACGGAAGTCGATATGAAACACATTCAATTAACGAAATGTAGCTATTTCTTTTTTATGAAATTTATTTAATGTAACGTCTTTAAGTACATTTTGTTATTGTGATTGTTTTCAATCAATTTTGTATTAAGATATGTTGATAATACTAATAATGATAAATTACGTGATTTTTTTTATTCAAAGAAAATACTACTCCTCTGACTAGGCTATTCAACTTACTACTTTTTCATTAAAATTCTAAAGAAGCTAACAATTGACACACATAGAAATACTGGGCTTGATGAGTCTGTTACAAGCTTTCATTTTGTGTTTTGTATTCTTAAGAGATATCCCATTGAAAGCAACCTGTGTAATTTGAGATAAAGCTTCTTAGTTGTATACTACAATTTTTAAGTACCCGTCGGAGTTCAATTTGTTTTATCTACTGATTTACCTTTGCTCAAACTTCCGTGTCTTCCTGTCTGTATTATGTACATGTATGGTGATTAGTTTATAGTATGATAGTTGTGGTTTGACATCGCTCAGTGTTTATACTGTACTGTTTAATCCTTAATCAACTTTCTCTTTTGTTGTTGTTGTTTTTGTGTGTTTTTATATGGGGGGGGGGGGGGGGGGGTGCACCAATATAAATAATGACTGAGGGAATAATACCTCAGGTGCCCTTCTGTACATTATTCAAGGCAGGAACGAGCTCTTGAGTTGAACCAACACCATTCTGTAAGCTAGCTGGATAGTATTCATACATGAAATAATCCACAGACTTTCATGAATTTTACCTCTTATTGAAGTTATTCTATTATTTAGTTAACAAGCTCTTTGATACTTATAATGCATGTCGTACTCAAATCTATTCTCTATGACAAATATTTACAAAAAAAAAAATGTTTTGTTCCATGTTTAAAAAAAGACAAGAATTCCTTTCTAGAATGGAAAGTCACATAATAAAAACTTCTGACAGGGAAAAAATGCTATGTGTCACAGTAAGTCTAGCTGTCATTGTTAAAGTAGATAATCCTGATAAGAATATTTTACTTTTTGCTACAAGTGTGCTTTATCAGTAAAGATGTCCTTTATTCATGCCAGTAAAATGTAAACAAAATAGATCAAGAAATATGTCAGTCAATATTCATTTATCTGATTTTATAACTCAGATATATCCAATTTTTGATTTTGTTTATTCCAAAAATTTTTATTTTGTGATTGAAATATTTTGTTATTCCTACTTTACCTACTGACTCAGATATTCCCAAGACCCAAAATTTTGGAAACATGGTACTGTTAGGGATTGTGACAATGGCAAGACATGACCCCTTTCTATTATGAGGTAATTAGGTCAAGGTCACAGTGCCATTTTCATGTAAAATCCTTGTTTAATCAATCTTTAATTGAGGAAAAAGGTATAAAAATTTTAATCTTAGTTTGGACATTGCCTGCAGCCAGTATATGATCCTTTTTGGGGAAAAAATGAGGTCATCAGGTCAAGGTTACAGTGACAGTAAATATCTTGTCTGATAAATAACTTGAAATACATGTAACTTGCTTTTCGAGGGGGAAAAATGAAATACATGAAGTTGATAAGCATGATTTCCATGCTTTGTTAACCAGGTTTTCCGAAGGAAAAAACTGGTTATTAGATTGAGGTATGTCGGCGGGCGGCCGGTCGGGCGGGCGGGCGGACGGCGGGCGGGCGGGCGTAAACAATTTCTTCTGTGCGCAACTCCTCCTACATTTCTCAACGGATTTTGACCAAACTTTCACAGAAGCTTTGTCATCAAGTGCCCTGGCGCATATTGTCGGGGTTTTGCGATTAGATAATATTTGACCTAATTATGGCCCTTTGTTTTTTTTCCTTATATAAAATATATAGTGAACAATTTCTTCTGTGCGCAACTCCTCCTACATTTCTCAACGGATTTTGACCAAACTTTCTCAGAAGCTTTGTCATCAAGTGCCCTGACACATATTGCCAGGGTTTTGCAATTGGTATATATTTTGACCTAATTATGGCCCTTTGTTTTTTTTCCTTATATAGAATATACAGTGAACAATTTCTTCTGTGCGCAACTCCTCCTACATTTCTCAACGGATTTTGACCAAACTTTCTTAGAAGCTTTGTTATCAAGTGCCTGGCACATATTGTCGGGGTTTTGTGATTGGATAATATTTGACCGAATTATGGCCCTTTGTATATTTTTTCCTTATACAGAATATATAGAGAACAATTTCTTCTGTGCTCAACTCCTCCTACATTTCTCAACGGATTTTGACCAAACTTTCTTAGAAGCTTTGTTTTCAAGTGCCTGGCACATATTGTCGGGGTTTTGTGATTGGATAATATTTGACCGAATTATGGCCCTTTGTATATTTTTTTCCTTATACAGAATATATTGTGAACAATTTCTACAGTGCGCAACTTCTCCTACATTTCTCAATGGATTTTGACCAAACTTTCACAGAAGCTTTGTCATCAAGTGCCCTGGCGCTCACTAAATTCCCATGTTTCTTCCAAGACATCATTCAAGTATTTTTTTAAAATTGTGAACATACTTTTCTTGATATCGCACAAAACACCACACGCCAATATTGTTGACAAAAGAAAATGACAAGAGACGCAAAAATGCAAAAATTAAGCAAAAATAAAGTACTGTTTACCTTTCTAAAACATTTGGGAAAAAAAGGCAAATAGACAACATAAAATTTCTCAATCATTTTTGTTTGAGGAATATTAAAAAAGCCATAATTCCTCCTAAAAGTTCAATTAAAAACAAATGCCCCTTCATGACAAAGCTTCTGTGAAATATTTTGCTGAAAACCTGGTTGCATCGCATTGCGATGTTCCTTGTTGTCTTATTTTGTGTGTATTTCCAGTATTTATTATGTTAAAATATCACTATCAGTTATACATTTGCGACTGCAATACATTAATTGGAGTAATAATGTAAAATTATGTATGTTTCTTTTATATCAGTGATTATTGTTTTGTTTTTTCCCAATCATAATTATGAGTACATCTGTAGAGTTTTCTTTCAAAATTTCTTGCTTTGTTTTTATAAAAATAAATCAATGGAATCAAAGCAGTCTGCTGGCTACAGTTAAGTAAGGGGAATAATCAGCAATATTTTACCACCACAAATCCTGTATCATTGCACATGATCGTTTGCTTTGTTTTATTCTTTTAAATAACTTTGTGCCAGAAACAAAGTATTTAATTTCTGTACAATACATACCCATAATAATATACTAAGTTAAAATACATAATCACTTCTATTGGAAAATTAAAAAAAGGAATGTTTGATATTGCTTATATGTTACTACTATATAAATGTCCCTGATAATACATTAAGCTATCAAGTCATGTTTTAATGTTTCATTAAGGGTTCAACTTAGTTTCTACATTTTAAGTATAAGAAGTTAACACTTTTGTAGCAGATGCGTGAATTTATTGTCTCAATGAGAAATTATATATATTACAAAGATTATACTGTTATTTCTTCTCAGATAATGAGATTTATAGTAGGTACATATGTATGTTGACATTGAAAGTAACTTCTGATTTACAATTGACAAAAATATACACAGCAAATGGTTTACTGTCATAATTGTATTTAAATTAACATTTTTTGTTTTTATCTTGAGATTATGAATGTGTGTGTAGGCATTTTTTTGATCTGGTTGAATAATTATACTGAATATTTATAAAATTATATAGACCTGTCTTGCCATTGGTAGAATATCATTTTGAATCATCATTGTTTAAAGTTATTTCAACAAAAATTCATAAATTGGAAATATGATTTGTTTGTAGAATTCTGATTAAAAGCTGATGGTGCATGCACAAAATCATTGTAGCAGGCAATTGTCTGTTTATTTTGTTTTCATTCTCTAAGTGATTCATCTGCTAATTGTTAAAAGAAAATTTCAAAAAATGTTATAAAATAGGATATACATATATAGTATGACTTATGTAAAACGAAATGAGATTTTTATCACGGGGAAGATTTTAGCTATTTTAAGCACATAATTGTTACTGTTTATTGTCAGTTAAGTCATGCATAACGTTACGTATGACGTTCTTTGTGCTTTCATTGGAGTAGAAAAACGTAATGTCATGGATGTACATTCTACAGTATTATCTTAATATTAATATACATACTGAGATGACACCATTTGTGTATAAATCTGTAATGATCAAAGTTTAAAGTCTGATGTCAGTTAAGCTGTTTTTTTACCTCTTGAAAGATTTGATAAAATTGTTTCAACTGTCATCTAGTTTATTGATAAAATCATGAAGAAATGTAAAAATAAAGAATGTACATGCATGGATTTATTTTCATGTGACCAAATATTTTATTTAAGGAATGTTTTCTTTGTCTAAAGTTTGGAAGTATTATAAGGAATTTAAGTTTTGTTTTACGGTAAGAATCTAATACCCTATGACATATATACATAATATGTAAGAAATATGATAAGTTTTAGTGGGAAATGTCATAAAATTTTATAAAATTGATACATGATAATTATATACTTATATGGAAATGGTCACTTCACAATTAGTGTGTAACATTTGGAATGGCTCACTTTATCACAGTTTAAGCTCTTCAGCGCACCTGTTTATATACCTGAATATGATATATATATCATATAATATATATGACCTGAACACCGCAGCAGAAGAAAGAGAAATGTTTAAAAAGTTTTGGAAACCTGTGAGAACTAACTTTACCAGAGTTTATTTGTATAGGAATAAGATGGATGCCATGTTTCTCTGTTACATCCACTACTTACTATACACACTCTTGCATGAGCACAAGAAATAATTGTTTGGTTACTATATAAAATTAACTCCTCATAGGTTTTCTTATTTTCAGGTAACATTCCAATGACAGGCAATATTAAAAATGAATGAAGAAGTTCTTACGCACAAGCCTTCAAGATCATTATCTAAATATGTAAATGAAGCATTCAGCTTCCTGAACGTTGAAGATGTAGACGAACCAAATGATAAAGACACACCTGTGTATATCTCAAAAGAATTGCAAACAGTTGTTGAAGGTAAAGTGTCAGAAACTGTAAATGGAAACATACATGAAATTGATCATCACAGGAATGGAGATCCAGAAGAGTTTAGAATAGAAACTACTGTTGTGGATGAGGAGACAACTGTGAATGGGGAAACCGTAGGTGTAAATGGTCAAATATATAATCATGATAAAGTAAACGGTGATGGAGGTGAATTTTCAATTGTAACTTTTGTAGAGAATGATCATGGTGAGAAAAGGGGTGTAAAGGGAGAAAACTTTGGTAAAATAAAGAGAGGTCTGATTGAGATTAATCCTGTGTATGAAGTAAATGATGATTTAATAGCAGATAATGAGGTAGTAGGAGTTAATGACGGTAGTCAGGGTAACACTGAAGAAACCTCTAGTGAAAACCAGACATCAAAACTTGACAAAGATGCGGGTAATTCTAATGATGATGTAAGTACAGGTGAAAATGGTACAAGTATTACAAAAGAAGGTATTAACACTGAAAGGCTGTCTGTTGTTATTGATGATGAAGTTGTAGAACTGAGGAAGTCACCTGATGTAGTCAGGTCTCGTCAGTCCCGGCAACCAACCTGGAGAAAAAACCAACATGTTGTTAGTGAAGCGTTCAACTTTCTTACAGACATTGACACTCAAGATTTGGATACAGTGACAGACAGTGTATTAATCAATGGTTTCAGTGTCAAAACTTGTAGTGAATGTGGTCAGAATTTAACACATGATGATAAAATTTCTGTAGAGGATCAAGGGCAATTACTCTGCAAACATTGTGAGTCTAAACATACTGAGAAAGGGGAGGTAACTAAAATCAAAGCAGAATCAGGGAAAGTTAATGGACTAGATTCTGAAGCAGGGGAGGTTAATGGGGTTAATGGAGAAACTGATGATGTTGGTGAATTGCCTGATTCTAAACCAGGAATTACTAGAAAGAGGAGATTAGTTCCACAGAATAATACTGATAATGATGACGGGAATTCATCAGATGAAGACAAAGGTAAGAAATGCTACTGTTGTCTATCGTAGTTATCTTTCCATGATTTCTTTTTGCAAAAAAATATTCAGAAATTATTTTGCATTTTCCCATTGAGCTGTCATTGATGAACAATTTTGTCTGGATACATCATTCAGTGGAAACCTTTTGAATACATGTTATAAATTATCATCATGGCGTTCTACATGTGCAACATACTTTTCTTGTTGAGCACTGAAAAGTTCATGCCTGCCAAGAGAAAAGGAGGGAAGTGACCACTCTTAAGACATAATTGAAAGAATATTTGCACAAGATGGGGGAAAATGTAAAATGTGGAATGTTGATCATATGTGTAATTGCGACAACGGACATTTAATGACAGCCCTTATTATTTATACAATGATCATACATTATAAACAATTTTTGTACTGAAGTTTTTATAGCACTAGATTGTACGATTATTTTCCCACTTATTTCGGTAAAGATGATATTGTATAAATACTTTATGTATCAGATGCCACTCTGCATGGTCAACAGATCATACAGTCAACATGAGATGGGTTAATGTACGCCAAGGTGTTAGCCATTTGTGATAACAAAAAAAGTAATTTTCAAAGTGCCTGGAGTGATCGAGCTAGTTTTCAATGAATTTTCATACTATCTATTCGACACAGGTCTATGATTTCTTTTATAAATGATAAAATCACACTACCCTAATTTTGTTATCATAATGGCAGTCTTTTCAATGTCCACCTGAGGTAACAATTATATGACAAAGGGTGATATTACAGACTGGTGAGAAATGAATTAGGGCAGTTTTAACAGGCAAAGTCACGCAAGCTATAACAATTTTTCTGATTTGAGGGAGAAAGGCCATGAGGGTTCTGTTTATTTTATTTTACTCTACTAACTCTAAGCCAATGATGTTATTGAAGAATAGATGAAAACAATAATATAACAGTTTGAACTGTTTTATAAAGTAATGTTTACATGTCGATAGCCAATAAATTTTAAAACCTTGTTAAAATTTTCAAAATACATAAAGTATTTTTTTTATTATCGACGTGAAAAAAGTAATTAAAAAATAAATGTAACTGAAGATGTACCTATATTCCAAGATTCCAAGGCTTTCAAGCATTATATTTATGATCAGTTATGTTCAGTCTATATTATTTGAAAAAAAAACTTCTTTTTTTTTTAGTTTATATTATTTGGAAGAATTATTAAAACTTTTTTTTGTATTAACTTGATAGAATAAGATTGTTTTTTATTAAATTTAGATATCAGAATTTAAGTAAAATTACACCCTAAAGTTTTACTTTGAAAAAAAAAATTGTTTCTTTAAAAATTAACCAAAACAAATTTTAAGTTTACAAGTGAATCAAAATAGTTTCTATATTTACACAGTTAAAGATAACATTATAGCCAATGTAGTTTTCTAAAGGATCCAATTTCAAAATAATGCATTCTTTACAAATTTACAATGTTACCCTGAAGGTAAAATTATAACATGTGACATAAATCTACCCTTTGTCTGATTTAAAATTGCATGAGAACACTTTTATTACTTTATAAAGTAAAAATTGTTAAATAACAATCATGTATATTTATATTGTGCAAATTATTACCCTCACTATGCGGAATATCTAAAAATAGACTTGTTCATCTGTCAATCTACAATATTATAACCATTCTGATTCATCGTTTTTGGAGAAAATTTCAAAATATGTATGTGTAAGGCCATCCTTAAAAAAATGTTTGTTTGGAGTAACCCGACCCAGAATTTTCAAGGTGGGTAGGTAGGTCGATTTTTTTTTTTTTTTTTCTTTTTTTTTTTTTTTGAACTGTACTTCCAAATAAACATGGAATTTCAAAATGCTGGACAATATATGCTTTGTTTATCTGGTAACAATTAATAAATTGATAACTGAATTCTAATTTAATAAGACCTACATTTTATTTCTTCTATTAACCTTTAAAAGAACGAAAACAAAGCACAAGGCATAATTTTTTTCTGATTCAAAAAAATAATTTTTTTGATCCTGACCATGAAAAAAAAATTTGAGTAGGGGCAAATTTTGTGAGTCTGTCGCGTTACTGCAAACGAACATGTTTTTAAGGATGGCCTAATGATTCAGAATAGCAAACAGTGCAGACCATATATGCCGGCTGATTTTGGTCTGCACTGGTCACATGGGTAGAAATTCTGTTGCTGCTAGCCGGCTCAGGTTTAATTGATTTTGATGATTTTATATCTAATTATCTTAAATGTAAATCTATTTCAGAACATGTGAAGTACTACATGTAAAGAGTGTTCAGTTTTCTTTAAAAATAAAAACTGTAATATAAGTTGATAAGGACAATATCTATTTTGTAGTAGATTTAAAGTTTTCTGCCCTACAAAAAATGAATGACAATTTGTAAAATGGAATGTCAATTTTCGTGATTTAATTTTGCATATGCCCTTTTTTCTGAAAAGGAAATTTGAATTTACTTTTCTATATCTTCATAAGGATAGGTTATCTTGGGTATAAGTTTATTGTCAGCCTTAAGTTCAGTCAGTGTAACTAATTGCCTTTGAATTATTTAAAAGGGTGTCCTTTATTTTTTGTGGGTATGTTACACATACTTCCTGGTTGCACCCTAAAAATAAACTTCCAGTTAATTTAATAAATCTGTACAGTCATAATATCTAATGAAACATTTGTTTTAAAAATTATTATTAAACAGTAAAATTATGTTGTTTTCATATATAAATATAATGTTACTAGTATTGTTCATTTTCAAAAGAGTTGTAACAGAATATGTCACACATGAATATTGTATAAACAGAATGAAATGTTCAGGAACAAAGTATTATTCTGCTGTTTAATTTACAGAGAGATTTAAATAACATTAGCAATTATTTTTGGCAATTCACTCCTACTTTAAGGAAATACACAAACACATTTCTATTAAAGGTTAAAAGATTTCTAGCTGCGTAGGTTCAAAGAGTTTCCATCTGTATGCTTACAGCTTCCTACACAATCAAACTAAAACAAATTCTGTATTTGTAAACTAAACATGATGAATATTTTAAATGGACTTGTCCAGGTTTCATTTTTGGAACTGTCCATTATCAGTTTTAGGGATAGTCATTTGTATGAAGAGGAAAATTTTCAGCCAACACTGTTCAGAGCCTGGGCAGACTAGCACACCTGGGTATATTATATTGGTGGCTCTAAAAACCTAGTCTTAAACTTCTACCTCTTGACAGGCTTTGTTCTGTAGTCAATGTTAAAGTTTTCTTTCAAATTCTATCTAGGTAATTAAAATAAACAGAAAAAAAAAACAACCTTGTTCAACACTGCACATTTACAATGTTTTATTCTAGCAGAATGTATGTTAATTGTTTTAACTTATAATAAAAAAACAATTTAGCAGTGAAAGCCCTTATTTTCCATATCAAACTTACCTTTAATAGAAACCTTTAAGCTGACAGTGAAGGTCATACAACATGGCCAAATTAAAAAATGCTTCAGACAAGAAGGTTAAGATTTATTAGACCATTGTAAAAGTATGATTATATTTTTCAGGTGTTTACAGGGAGAGTTTCCGCAAGTCTACCTGGCTATATATTGGAGACAATGAAGAGATTAAAGAAAGAACGAACCATTCTAACTTTATATCATTGTCTGACCTTGGGGTAGATACTTGTGACACAGGTACGACACCTCTAATTTCGCTTTCATATTTTGGTTAGCTAATTATAAAAGGTCTTTCAAGGTACTTTTGACAGAACCGGCCACATACTCTAAAAATATTATTAATTAGTTCCAGCATCATCATACTGATCATACATGTATTTCTCTACTTTATTATTTCATAATAATTATATATATTGTATAAAGAAAAGACTGAAAAAAATATTAATAAAAGTCCATGGTTGGCAGTTAAAAAAGGGGGTAGGTAGTCCAGATATAGAAGGTAACATTTCCCTCCTTAATGTTAAGATTATAAGTTTTTACACTTAATCTTATCTTTGATGAAGATCTTGGTGGTAAATATACCCAAATAAACTGTAGCTTGGATGGGAATATTGTGTTTCTTAAATAGATGATGCAGACCAGGATGAAAAAGTCCACAATCTTATCTGATATATGTGTATATGTGTTTCAAAATCATAGTAATGTATAGTTTAAATACTGTATTAAGCGATGTAGAGGACGGGGCATAAATAATTGAGAAATTTTTGAATGATGAATTTTGATCTTGTCTGGTCAGCCAACTATATAAGCTCAATTATGAGGGATAGCAATTTATTTGTAATCCAGAGGTTGGTGGTTTGATCCTCAGACTAGGCAAATTTTCTCCTTAACAATTGGTCTCTGACATTGAGTTTAATATTCATTTGTTTCTCAACTTTCAACAAATCTTTCCCAATTTCTGAAGTTTTGGTTATAATCTCAAAATTTAACATAATTAAAAAATGGCCTGTTTTATTGATTATTTCAGATAGCATATTTGGTGACAATGTTCCATCTATGTCACCTTTGCCAGACTTTGGTCACATACGAAATGACTCGGTCGGTACAACAATGTCTGAACAAGAGTTCCGGAACCAGTATAACTCTGTTGCTAGGAGATTTGTGAAGAGAGCCGACAGTCAACAAGAGTACAAGAGATTTACAACCAGGGGATATGGTAGGTTTCAAATAATGCTCATGTTGTGAATCTCCACATTTTATCCTTTCAACATCTTAAGCGGCCTTGATTTTTATTGTGTAGATTTCAAGATTTTATTGATAAGTCTTTAGGCCTCCGACCCGTAAACATTTACAACATATGATATTAATACATAGAAAGTGAGTGATACAGTGAATTTTCTAGGAATATTCTTATGATTTATGCGAGTCTATTGAAAAAGTGTGAGGCAATGTACTTTCTGTAGATGAAAATGTATGAGGTAAAAATTGAAAAAACCTTTTACGACATCAGAAAAAATCTCTAAAAAATCAGTAATTCTGAATTTCTGATCAACTAATCCCAAGAACAAGTATGTTGTTACCTGGACAGGTACATGAATACATGAATACAGGTCTGATAGGCAAACAGAGTATATCTGTAATTGGAGCACATACATAGCAATCTTGTAGCCAGTGACGGGGCCAGGCTTAAGGTAGTTGTTTTGTAGGTTAATAGATTGCATAGGATGTCACTCTTATACAATCAGCAACAGTTTTTTTTTAAAACAATGAAGTGTACATTTATACACAATATATGCATATAAAGTAAGAGATATTAATTTATTTTAATTTATGAGTGCATTGTTATATAATATGGCATGTTATGCATGTCAGTTGTTTGTAAATAATCATTCAGTCATACAGTGTTAATAATGTTATAAAAGCTTTACTGAACACACCATCTCGATATAGTGTAATATAACATGATTGTGTACATTAAACCTATACTATATTTCTTAAACTTTGATCCGTCTTTCAAGAATGGTAATAATATGCCAGTTGACATTGAAAAATACGTAAGCTAGTATCTTGTCAACACGTTATTTGAGGTCTGGTTAATGGTAGTATAATCAGTTTTACCTTGATTATTTATTGAATTTAATTTTATTGTAACGTATCTGCATCTCTTAACTGTGAACCTGTTGTACATGTTGTAACCAAAAGTGATTACCCTTTGTCAGCACTACTGTATAATGCCAGGCCAGCCTGCTCTTGCATTCAGACTGCCTAGGCTCTATACTATTGACTGATGAAACTTCAAAATTATTATCTTGATTTCCCCAAAATTGATAATACTGTTCCAATAATGGAAGCTGGGCTAATCCATTAAAAAATTTCAGTAAATTAAAGGTTAAAATAAAAAAAAAAATCAAATATTTTTCAAAACCAAAATTTCATAAACCTTAGCTAATAAAGACTGCATGCCTCATAATGTCACTTGTTTGTTTAAAGCCAAGTTTGCCTGAATGTTCATGTAAAACCATAGCAGATCTCAGTTATATTTCCTCATAAAATGACACCATTACTTGTTAGTCCAAGAAGAAGAATTGGACAGTGGTTCAATTGACACATACAATTCTTAATATCTTACATAGACTTGTCTATCAAGAGAACATTTATCAGCTTTAAGGCAATTTCCAAAATAAGTACAGGTATTAGTAGTTTCTCAACACCAAACAGTGCAGACCATGATCAGACTGCATAGATGTGCCATCCCATTATATCTTCATCTGCACTTGGTACATTCCTAGAATCTGTTGGCACCTGCAGGCCAGCTTTCATTAAAATTTGAGCTAAGATGAATACATGTATGTTTTAACTAACCGTTTGCTTTATTCAGGATGTGAATATTAAAGAGACAAAACATGATTTAACATTACAGTTAGAATGGCAGTATGGTATAGTAATTTATATATTGTATTTCAGATAATTTGAAATCATTTACCATTGAGCGTGACTCAAGTATGGAGTTTGGAATACATATATTAGACAGTAAACCTGCCATTATATCTGGAATAGATGCAGGTAAATAGTCACTTAAACTGAAAATATATTCTTTTTTATAGATTTTCTAAAGGAGCAAATATCTTTAGTGTGATGTTAGTATGTAACATGCATGTTGCCCAGTCCTAACAAGTACATGTAGTTACACATTCATTTTGTTTTGATATTTTAACTTTTTTGTACTGTAAGTAACTACCTACTATTGGAAAATGTAACCATAGCATTTATTAGAGGATATATGGTATTCTATTTTTTGTTGTTGTTGATATTTCAGGTAGTGCTGCAGAGAGTTCAGGGTTGAAGGAAGGTCAGATTGTTGTATCTATAAATGGGGTAAATGTTTTAGAGGCCAGCCATGATGAGATCATTAATCTGGTCACAAGAGGTCAGTATGGTTTGTCTTTCATCTCTTTTGCCTTAATTTTTTACTTTTTCAAAGTTCCTCTTAGGGTCTTTATATTTGATTTATCATTATGTGGAAAATTTAGTTTTATTGATGATTATGCTACTCTTGTAATATTTCAATTTCCCAACAGCTACTCTTGACTTGTCTTTAAACATATTGCTTTTATACGGGCCTTCAAAGCAAGTGTTTAAGTCTGGTATGAAGAAGCTATCCAGCTGGGAAACATTGGTGGTTCTACTCACATTCCCACATACGCATAAAAGGGCTACTGTTTTGCTCTGCCACCATTAAATTTAGAAAATTGCTGTATACCATTTCTTTGTGACTTAAAACAAACCCCCAAAAATTGTTTCTTTGATATACTACAGATTCTAAGACCCTGACTTTAGAGGTTGGGACAGGAGATACCTCGACTACACAAGATCTTCAAGTACCAGTGATGACTGGCTATCTACAGAAACAAGTCTCGTCTACTATATTTAGAACATGGAAACGGCGGTACTTCATCTTACGGAGAGATAACTGTCTGTATTATTACAAAAATGAAAAGGTAAAAACATAGAAGGTTACACTATTCCTCATCTCTCAGTTGTGACATTTTTTTCTGGTCCTTCCACATTATGATATACCTAATCTCGGTGTTAGTGTTTTATCTGTTCCTTCAAGGTCATTGATTTCAATATTTAGGAGTTGTATGATTGAATACTACTAAAGTTTGTGCTAGTGGATATGGAAATACAATTTGTATTTACAGTTTTCATCATCTCTTATGAACAAGTAAATCAATTTTAATCTGTAAAATTTTACCCTTTTGTTTTTTGATTAAATTGCTTCTGAATCTTCCTTTGTGGTGCTTCATTAAGTTTATATAATTTGTTAAAAAAGATGCAAAATTAGTAGTATGTAATTGATGGGAAAACTCTAATTACTGGTTGACCAACCATTGAGATGGGACCATAAGCATGCTAAAATCAGCATTAAAAACAAACTTAACGTTATTGCTTCAAATGTACATGTAGCTCCCCTTTTCCAAAATGTTTACTTGTGATGGTGAAGGAACTTTAAAATGATTAGGGATACAGTCACTAATTTGTAAGAGTTGTGGCCCTTGCTTTTCCTTTTAAAGCATAAAATATTTTTTAACTAAAAGTTTAAATGAATGATTTTAGATCAACAACTCGTGTTTTCCTTGATGCCTCAACAGGATAATCCTGTAATAAAAAAAAGTTTACTCTTCATTTACATTGTCATTATTCTCATAATATTATTCATAGAAAATATGTTGTGATAAACAACATACCAAAATACCTGTGCGTCTATGCAGTCTGACCAATTTGAGTATATTGAGATGCAATACAGTACTCTGCTATGAACTGTCCTGAATTCCTTTTTGATTTATTCATTCATAGTTTTTTTACACATCATTAAAATAAAAGGATAGAGCCAGGCCAACCTGCTACACTGTTGTTATCTAAATGCCTTTAATATGCTGTAAGGCAAATATATACATTACACAAATTCATCATATAAATGGTTAGACACAATGTGATGAGATATATTTTATATTTTCACAGGAAACAGATCCACTAGGGGCTATACCATTAAACTGTTATACAGTTTCAAGACATGGAGATCTTAACAAGTTTGGCTTCAAAGCTGAGAAATACAACTCTAAAACATTCTACTTTATGGCAGAAAGTAGAGAACAAATGACAAAGTATTAACTCATTTTATTGCATTAGTTTTAGTAAAATATTTGTATATATCAGTGAAATATCACATGGTATTTCACTGTAGAGCTAGGCCAGTATGAACATCTGTGCAGGCTGACCAATCTTTTATTTATACTGCATAATTGATGTCTGATAATAACAGAAATTGTGTTCATGTGATCTCTTTTAACAAGTCCTAACTCTTTCTTTGCATAATGATCTGTAAATATCATGATTAAATAATGGGGATGGCAACGAATACAAAAACTAATACTAAGTATTCTGTCGTTTATCCAACGGAGTACTCAGTTACTATGATGTTTAATAATGATCTTCAAACTTTATCACACAATATCAACACCAGCTACATGCTACTTTCGTTTTCTATTTAAGTTCATAGAATTTGTAATTATAAATAGGACTGCAAGGGAGGTAACTTAGAGTAACCAATAAACAAATTGATCAAAATTGTATCAATAGTATTATATTTTACAATTTAATTAAGGCACAAATTAAGGTAATTAAATATCATAAGAGGCCGAATGACGTAAGCAACACAGGTGTTTAATCCCATGCACGTGTCAAACTGTTGATCGCCTAGTTAAATTCAATATATCATTTTTGCACCTTTGCAAGGATGTCTTGGTTGCATTTAACAGGTATTTATGAAGATACATGTACATCTTCGAATTTCTGAACTAATTAGATACACTAATCTATCTAAATCACAAAACAATAAAGTAGAAATTACATATTTTTTCCAAGTAATCAAATATCAATTTTCTTAACCAATATTCTGACGTTTAATCAAAAACAGGTTACTCATTGCCATCCCTATTAAATATATAAATATTTAATGTGTGAAAATATATAATTTAAGTAATTCTATCCAGGTTATATTTAGGTTATTTTATTGCATACTTGTATTTAGCACTCTTGACATTGTTAGAGGGGATCACACTTGATGCCTTAACACCTTGTGTAAACAGGTGTGTTTAAGAAGAAATTGGTAATTACCAGCTATCCAAGACCAAGATATAATTAAAACAATGTGTTAAAATTGGCATAAAACAAGAAAAACAAACAGGATTTGTATACCTGGCCTAGCACAAGTACATACTAAGCTTATTGAAATCTCAAATTAAAAACAACAACAAAACAATCATAATAACCCAAGTGTCTTGATATTTCAGTTGGGTCGGGGCAATGAACGATGCTGCATCTAAAGGTAAAAGTAAGGTAAGACAGTCTTGTGATAATTAAAATTGAAAATAAATTAATATGTGAAATAAATATTCATTACAACTACCAAGTTGAATATTCACTCTTACTTTGGATTGATTGATGTCTGTGCTATTTAGAAAGTACTGGTAGGCAAAATAAATTTTTATAACACTTAAGCCCTAGTCTGATCACATAATTTCAGGTTATGATAATCTTAATTCAGTTAAGCTTTTCTTTGTTTTAGCTATTTAGGTAAGCAGACATAAAGAAAATAATCTATAATTATCTAATAAAACTACATGTATCTATCTATCTCGGTGAAAACTTACAATTTCTTTGACCACTGTTTCAATTGCACAGTCAAGTAAATTTGTATTTTAAATTTGAATTTGTAAGTAATTCAGTATTTTTCTACTTTGAATTCATGAATAAATCTTATTGCTTGTTTTCATCTAGGATTCATGGATGGATGTAACAGCCCATAATGTTGGGCTGCCGGCATTGAATATTAGAAGCCCAGATTGTTCGGGGTACTTGTTCAAGATGGGACGAGCAACCCGGCGCTGGAGAAAACGTTACTGTGTTCTCAAAGATGCTTGTATATACTACTACAAAAATGCTAATTCTAAAGAAGCTGATGGTGATTTTATATTATTTAACCCTTTACCTTGCCCTATATCTTTTAAAATAGTCCATTTTTTCTAATGATACCCTGGAAAAGAAGTTAGATGGAAAAAGCCATTCATCTTTTTAGTGTAAATTTTTAAAATCTGTAGACTGAATAGTGAACAGGGCAGATAATGGAAGTACTTTTGCCATGGTTACATGTTATTTTTTAAAGCATAATATGTTATCTCTTAAAACTGCTTCCACTCAGTGTATACTTGCTATTTATTTGGATTCTAAGGTCCTCATAAATACAGCAGAAATTTCAGAAAATTCATGATTGCTTTAGTGTAGCCAAAGCTAGAAATATTTATGTGATTTTATGATAGAAAAATTGAAAAGGTTTGCACTGTTTTCATTAGAAAACATTCTTTATTGTATGTAATGAAACAAAAAATGAGTGCCTCAAATTTAAAACAAACCATCTCCAAAAAATTTCAATGACATCCCTCGGATTTTGGGTTTGAGACCTACTTTGGTCAGGACCCTATTTCCTCATTTGACACCAGTACTGGTTTATACCATGAAGCTGACTTTCAAGAGAGTTTTTCAAATTATTAACTAAATGCCTTTGTCACAATATGACTTCAATTGATGATATTTAAACTAAAATTGAAAGAATGCTATCATAGCTAATTGTAGACATATTTTGGTTTATAGGCGTGGCACATCTCCATGGATATACGGTAGAGGTCAGTGGTGTGTCCGGGAAGAAGTTCAGTTTTAGTTTACGTCCACCGGAGACTCAGATGAGAACGTTTTCATTCTACACTGATAATGATACAGACAAAATGAGGTATGTTAAAGGGAGATAACTAATAAAATAATTGTGTAATTTATTGAATTAAATAGATGTTTTACTAAATAGTCGTGCCTATGTCTAAATCAGGCTAAGTGATGGCATGGCTTAGTTGTTAACTTGTTTGACTAATAATCCATGAATAGGTGAGTGGTTACGGTTGGTGACTTCACTTGCCCTAGCCAGTGAATGTAAGAGAGCTTCCTCTACCAGTAAAGCTGGTAAGTTGCCATATGATCTTTGAAGTGTGTGTGTTACTCGAAAAGATAATGATAAAAAACATACATGATGAATTTACTGATGAAATAATAATGTTGATATCATCTCTAAGTTAGATAACTTTTTTTTGTGGGTTTTTTTTTTGCCCTTGTTATTCTAATGAAATGAATATTAAAAAATCATGTCATTAATTCTATTACATGGTTTATTTACTGATAAAGCATATTTATTTTGTTTATAATGACCAAAAACAAAGTTTTCTTTAGAGAGTGTTTTGTTGTTTATATTATAGATGGGTCCAGTCACTGAATACATCAATCAAGAAATGGGTCAAGGTGGATTGATTCCTAGGCAATACTGATACATGACAGCTTTTGTTATTACATGATGCTTACAAGGTGGATTGAGTCCTGGGCAATACTGATACATGACAGCATTTAGCACACCTGTCACAAAGTGACATGGTGAGCTTTTGTGATCGCTTTTCGTCCAGCGTCTGTCCATCGTCCGTCCGTAAACTTTTAATTTAAATGACATCTCCTCATAAACTGCTAAGCCAATTCCATCCAAACTTCACAGGAATGTTCCTTTGTTGGTCAACTTTATAAATTGTTCAAAGAATTTAATTCCAAACAGAACTCTCGTTGCCATGGCAACCGAAAGAAAAAACTTCAAAGATCTTCTTTTAGAAAACGAAAGAGGTAGAGCTAAAATATTTTGCATGAAACATCATCTTTCCAGTGTTTACCAAGTTTTTTCAAATGAATGCCCTGGGGTCAAAATTGGCCCCACTCCGGGGAGGTCACTGATTTCCTTATTCCTGTATATTGTTAAAACTTAAAAAATCTTCATTTAAAAAAACCCAAATAGCTAGAGCTTAGATATTAAGCATGAAACATCCTCTAGTGGGTGTGTACCAAGTTTGTTCAAATAAAAGTCCTGGGGTAAAAATTGGCCCCGCCCCAAGGGTTCATTGATTTTCCTTATTTGTATATAATTAAAAAACTTAAAAAATCTTCTTTTAAAAAACCAAAATAGCTAGAGCTTAGATTTTAAGCATGAAACATCTTCTAGTGGGTGTCTACCAAGTTTGTTCAAATAAAAACCCTGGGGTAAAAATTGGCCCCGCCCCAGCCCAGAGGGTCTTGTTTTTCCCTTTATGTATATAGTAAAAACTTAAAAAATATCTTCTTTTGAAAACCCCAAAGAGCTAGAGCTAAGATATTTAGCATTAAAAATCTTCTAATGGGTGTCTACCAAGCATAACTTAAAACGTACTGGTTGGAATTCAAAACAACTTCATACAATGGTCAAGCACTATAAGAGGAAGTGCAATGAACAAGAACTATAACTCCATCTTCGGTATTTATACAGTAATTGCCCTTTGTTCCTTTTCTTTATCTTTCTGGACTTATTACAGAGTTATTCAATATAACTTCATCAATGGCCAACCACATTGAAAGGAAATGCAACATACAAGAACCACAACTATCTTTAATTGCCCACAACCATAACTCTATATTTCAATTATTTTACAAGGTATTCTTTTTCTAGTAACATCCTCATTTCCGATGCAGTCTTGTGGGGGTATTAATCACATTTAGTGATAGTTCTAGTTTTATTACCATTGACATGGTTAAAAATCATCTTCATTTTATTGTGGAAATAGTTCCTGCATGGTTATGGTTGTTGACTTCAAATCTTGTGCTCCTTGCTGTTCTGGCTTAACATTGTGTTTTAAACTCTAGATTCTTTCTTGTAAGGAATTTCTCCAACTGTCATATGGTATCTTAATGATATTACTTTGATGCCTGCATATGACTAAAAAAGTATGGAGAGGCACTTTAGATGTTCTTTTATTAGTAAAATTATGATAGACATTCTTTCATCAGTAAAACTATGAAATGATTACATGAATTAGTGTTTTGTAATTTAAAAACAACAAAAAGTATGTAGAGATTAGTACGGTGGCCAAATGATCAGGGTTGCAGACATACTATAAGCACTCTTTCTTAAATGAATGTTATGTTTGAATTTAGAAAGTGGTTACTGTTTTTATGATTGCTGATACATGTTAAAGGGTCTCAACTGAGGTTTTTTGACATGACGGGACTGGAAATAATTTTTTGAGATTATTACTCCATTTGATGTAAATCTATACTAATAACTTATGTGCAAAATTTCAGATCATTAGCTCGCTCTGTTTTTTCAGAATAATTATTATTAAAGTGACAAATAACCAAGAATTGAAAAGCGTTTAAACGCTTTTCACTCAAATCGGACTGAGAATAGCACAAACATATGATTTTCAATGTATTTCTAGTATATTTCTTGGTTATATTTCATTTATATTTCTGTTTTAAGTGCTCATGTTTATCTATGTGAAAAATTAAAATTTTATGTTTTAAGGCTTATAAACCTCAGTGGTGTTCCTTTTATGTATACCAGAGGTAACACACATAATAGCTCTTCCATTGATAACGCTGGAAAATCATGTGAAACATTATTTTCTTCTTAATCAATGGTGTATTGTTATTGAACACTTAAGAACTAGACACAATTGCATTGTAAATATGTAATTAACATAATATAGGATGACTGACCTTTAAATTGTAGGGCAAGGTTGAATATAAATTGTCAGTTTTTCAATGCATAAAACTTAATATGACTAAAGCATTATATATTTTTTATGATTGGTAGTTATGAATTATTTCCTTCCTGTATCAAATGATTTTTTAAAGATTTCTATTTTCAGTGAGTTGTCATTTTATATCTATTTTTATTGAAAACGTTCCATATTTTGCTAAGATTGATCTACTGTAACTATGGCAACATTTATCATGTATCTCATCTTGTTATTTATATATATTTATTTCGGACATTTTTTTAAGAATATGTTTAACTTAAAGGTTGTGCAATTTTTTTTATATATTTTAGAAATTTATCAATTCCTCGGAAGTTATTAGAATTACCTTGTATTGAGTTTGAAGAGAGGGTTGGGGGAGGGGGGGATTTGTGCCACTGTATTTAACAATTTATTATCTGGTGAATATACCATATGAAATTATAGAAATAAAATTAGAGTTCTATATTGAACAAATTTGTATAAAGAGGTATGAGGGTAGAAAAACATAGATGTATACAATGTATGAATATTTTATGCTCGCACCACTTTTTGCGGAAGGGATATATAGATTTACCTTGCCAATCCATCCCTCCTCTAAGCATCTATGAAGTTCCACTGTATCTACATAGTCCAGATTTCTTAGAATATTTGTCTTTGTGAGAATTTATGGACCTTTTAATTTGCCGCAAATATATTTGAGATTAGCTGAGTTATTTTCCATGATTTAGCAAAAATAAGCATATTTGGTGCATAACTCCAACAGTATAACTGCTATGTTTATACACACTAGCAACTATAGAGGGGTTGTTTTATTATTATTATGCTCCCCGAAAAATTTTGGGGGAGCATATAGTCGTCGGGTTGTCCGTCCTTCCGTCCGTCCGTACGTCCCAACTCGTGTCCGGCCCATAACTTAGTTATTTGAAGTCGGATTTTAAAACTATTTCACAGAAATGATCACCATATTGAGACGACGTGTCGCGCGCAACATTTGGGTCGCTACCTTGAAGGTCAAGGTCACAGCATGACCTTGCAGCAAAATCGTGTCCGGTCCATAACTTCGTTATTTGAAGTCGGATTTTAAAACTATTTCACAGAAATGATCACCATATTGAGACGACGTGTCGCGCGCAACATTTGGGTCGCTACCTTGAAGGTCAAGGTCACAGCATGACCTTGCAGCAAAATCGTGTCCGGCCCATAACTTTGTTATTTGAAGTCGGATTTTAAAACTATTTCACAGAAATGATCACCATATTGAGACGACGTGTCGCGCGCAACATTTGGGTCGCTACCTTGAAGGTCAAGGTCACAGCATGACCTTGCAGCAAAATCGTGTCCGGCCCATAACTTCGTTATTTGAAGTCGGATTTTAAAACTATTTCACAGAAATGATCACCATATTGAGACGATGTGTCGCGCGCAACATTTGGGTCGCTACCTTGAAGGTCAAGGTCACAGCATGACCTTGCATCAAAATCGTGTCCGGCCCATAACTTCTTTATTTGAAGTCGGATTTTAATACTATTTCACAGAAATGATCACCATATTGAGACGACGTGTCACGCGCAACATTTGGGTCGCTACCTTGAAGGTCAAGGTCACAGCATGACCTTGCATCAAAATTGTGTCCGGTCCATAACTTCTTTATTTGAAGTCGGATTTTAAAACTATTTCTCACAGAAATGATCACCATATTGAGACGACGTGTCGCGCGCAACATTTGGGTCGCTACCTTGAAGGTCAAGGTCACAGCATGACCTTGCATCAAAATTGTGTCCGGTCCATAACTTCTTTATTTGAAGTCGGATTTTAAAACTATTTCTCACAGAAATGATCACCATATTGAGACAACGTGTCGCGCGCAACATTTGGGTCACTACCTTAAAGGTCAAGGTCACAGCATGACCTTGCATCAAAATCGTGTCCGGTCCATAACTTCTTTATTTGAAGTCGGATTTTAAAACTATTTCACAGAAATAATCACCATATTGAGACGACGTGTGGCACGCAACATTTGGGTCGCTACCTTGAAGGTCAAGGTCACAGCATGACCTTGCAGCAAAATCCTGTCCAGCCCATAACTTTGTTATTTGAAGTCAGATTGTAAAACTATTTCACAGAAATGATCACCATATTAAGACTTCGTGTCGCGCCCAACATTTGGGTCGCTACTTTGAAGGTCAAGGTCACAGCATGACCTTGCAGCAAAATCCTGTCCAGCCCATAACTTCCTTATTTGAAGTCAAATTTTAAAACTATTTCACAGAAATGATCACCATATTAAGACAACGTGTCACGCCCAACATTTGGGTCGCTACTTTGAAGGTCAAGGTCACAGCATGACCTTGCAGAAAAATCTTGTCCGGCCCATAACTTCGTTATTTGAATTTAGATTTTAAAAATATTTTACAGAAATGATCACAATATTGAGATGACGTGTCGCGCGCAACATTTGGGTCGCTATCTTGTAGGTCAAGGTCACAGCATGACCTTGCAGCAAAATTGCGTTCGGCCAGTAACTTCGTTCCTTGAAGTCGGATTTAACAACTATTTCACAGGGATGATCACCATATTGAATCGACGTGTCACATGCAACATTTGGGTCGCTACCTTGAAGGTCAAGGTCACAGCATGACCTTGCAGCAAAATCATGTCTAGCCCATAACTTCCTTATTTGAAGTCTGATTTTACAACTATTTCACAGAAATGATCACCATATTGAGACAATGTGTTGTGCACAACATTTGGGTTGTTTTTACACTTTGAACTTTGCCTGTGACATAACTCTGACACTACAAGAGGTATACCTTCCTGTGTCCAAAACCTATTCAGGGAGCATCACCCGGTTCAACCGGCTCTTATTTTTTTTGCTACTAGTGGGATGGTATCCATAGCCCTAGACACATTTTCTAGTTAGTGAATTGGTAATTCTCATGTATGAATATTGTTGAGTGTTTAACAGTTCATAGGTAGTTTAGGATTTTTTTGAAAATACATTTCTTATTTTTTGATAGAGATTTGTCTTCCAGAAATGTACAGTTTTAAAATTGCATTTAAACTTTCTTCCATAAGGGGTAGCTGCCATATTGATTTGAGTGACATTGCAAAGTTCCAGTATTTGGATTGAAAGGCCCAGAGTCAGATTTCTAGATAAGGCTTAATTATTAATGAATGCTATTTGAATAGAAAGGTTGTGGGGAACAATGCATTTTTACATGATCTCATAATTCCCATAGTAAATTTTTGCAGTAAAAATCACACATTCACTAGCATTAAATTTTGTACAATGTCTGTCAGTGAATAAAAACTTACTCAAGTTGTTTTAAAAGGTTTTGAGCAAAACTATGACACAAATGAATATATTTCCTTTATCAAACCTTTCTGTATATTTTCCTGTGTGTTTTTGTGTCCATAGTTTGTATTATCTTATTGCTGTCCACATTTGCCTTTGTCTTAAATCTGTCCAATTTTTCCTATCAAACATGTCCATATTTTTATCTTTAGCTCACTCCTTCCATATTTTCCCATATCTAAAGCTTGTATATATAATTTGTTGTCTAATTGTGCTTTATACCTTGACTTAATCCATGTTCTGTCCATGATTTACATTGTCCAAACTCGACTCATTTAGTAAGAAACCTAATTTTTCATTTAAGAGTACCATAATTATTTTGACCACTTATGTACTCGTCCAAAATTTTAGTTCATCTCATCATTTTAATTTTATTATTGACCATCATCTGATTTCATGTACACTTACTTAGGTCTTAAGTAAAAAAACAATCAACAATACCTCTACCGTTCAGCTATTTACCATAAATCAAAACTTTCATGATGTGTCAGGGATTAATTTTTCATTTTCTTTCCAACGATCTTTTATATAGATTCCTGTTAAAATGCCATAATATAAATGATATATATTTAATCAGTGCTTTAACAAATATTGGTTGTTTCACTTGCAATTTCTTTTTCTAAGGAAAAACATATTTTGTTGTTTTGGTAGTTTAATTTTATTTGTACTGAAAGATTGTTGTACATATAAGTGGTAATTGTTCCTTACATGAATTTGATAACGTTTATTGTAAGTTGTGAAGAGAGATGATAATCAGATCAGAGATCTCTACCATCACAAACATTTTTATCAATATTTTGATATTTTTTAATTTATTTTTCATTATTTTTTTACTTTTGATGATTTTTTTGATAAACTATAACAAACGTAGGTACGAAAAGTTAAAAATAAAACAGAAAGAGAAAAATGATGTTAGTTTTTCTATGTAACAGTCAATATTTACATTTGAATTTCGACGTTATGTCATGTGACTTTCATCATCATATGACGTCTGCGAGGACAGTGATTACAATTCTGCCAAGGGAGGTAATCACTGTGAGGAGTTTGATTTTATACATGTTTAGATAATGCCCTTGATATGATATTTATAAAATGGGCAATTTTCAGCTAAATGAAAAGAAATGACTAAACAGAACATTTCTCATTTCTTTAGTAATTTATATGTCAGGAACACTAGTGTGTATTTACTGAAATGGTTCAACTTTGTTGATGCAAAAGCACTCTTTGTTAATTGTTTAATTTTCTATCACAATTGAGTATTGAAAATATTCTTTGAAATATGATATTGAGGGAGATCAGCAGAAAGCTGTTGTAAATAACGAAAATAACCAGATTAACTTTGATAAGAATAATTTATTGTGAGTTTTAGTCATCTGCTTATTTCTTGCTGTTGTTGTTGTTGTTATTATTAATAATTATGTTAAATATCGAAAGCATTCCTTGAGGGCTCTGAGCAAAGCACTTGTAAAACATAAAAAAAACTTACATGAGACTATCAAAGAATAAAGTTATTCTTTGGATCTAAGCGACCCACTTACAAGACAAGGTGTACAATATAGTGCTTGAAATGCTTGTCTTGTGAGTTACAAGGGTACAACTGCTTTGTTCAAGCCTTCAATCAAGCTTCTCTTAGAACTGTTTACAGTTTAACTTACAAGATGTGATTTATTTTGTTATTGTTTGTTGATATAGATAATATTCTTTTGTTGTGTGTTGTGTTTTTATTTTGCTCAAATGGTTGTTGTTGATTGTGATTATTACTTATAGATGTCCACTGTTGTATGAAACTTTAAACGCTTTTTATGTATAAAGTTTGAGAAACTACCTGTTTTTTTACAGGTAAATAGTATTATCATGCAGATAGTGTAACTTTATATGTATTCACCAATATTGATTTAAAAATATATAAAGTGTAGGAATAAATGTTTAATGTTTTTGATGTATTCTTTCAGTTATACATGTAGTTACAAATTATTGAAATACGTGGTCCCATAATATTGCTTTTTGAAAGTTCATGTTTAAATTCTTATGTTAGTGAATGTTTTTTGAAATATTTTTGTCTGTAAATATATTTTCTTACGGCTAAAGACTTTTATATTAGGGCAAGTGTTATGTTGTATGAAGGTACTGTTGTATGAAGGTTTTGTCATATATGTAAGTGATATTTTGTTTTACCCCTATGGTAGGTTTTGAAAAATTCAAGCTGAAGAAATGTATGAGGCAGCTTAGAGGCAATACTAACATATCTTCCGTACCAATATAGAGCTAGCATGGTTATCCTAGCAGTTTAACAAGACTGCATACTGTTTGACTATTCAATGTTATTGTGTTGATATATGGCGGCGTGTCAGAGTGGTTAACACGTCAGACTAGTAATCTAAGGATTGCTGGCGGCGTGTGTTCAAACCCAGTCAGGGGAAAGCTTATGTTATTATAAATATATTAATCAGAAGAAGTTCAGCATTTTTATTCTAAATAATGATAGTTGGAAAAAATTAAATGAATAATTCAACATTTGTATAATAGTTTTACAAAATAGCTGTAATATTTCATTATTTTAGCCAAAAAAATTTTAAAAGAAGAGTTATCATTAACATGCAGGCATCAGTATCTCATGTTAGAATCCGTTTATAACAAGATATTGTGTACCATGTTTTTGAACTTCTAGAATTTTGGTGATTGTTGTTATTAGACAGGAAAATGGTTTTGATACCTTTTTTTAAAACTATTTGCATTTCCTAAAATAAATTTCAGACTTTTTATAAAGCGAAAAGTTATGATTGACACAAAATATTTATTTAACAGTTAAATGAATACATTTGCAGATGTTTCTAGATTCAAAATATTACATTTTCATGTTAAATGTTGAAGTCTGCTTAAGCCAGTTGCTGTCAGGGATGTAGACTGTAGCTTTTCACTACCAAATACCGTCCATGAACAGGTTCAATCAAACCAAGCCTGCAACATTTTCGAACGTTTTGTGCGTTCTTTAGGGATTCCTTTTTTTTATACCATCTTTATACCATCTTTTTTATATTTGTATCGGAAGAGAGGTATACTCCAATTACATTCTGATTCACCAGCCACTTTCTTTGGTATTATATAATAAACTTGTTCTGTTAATATCATGTTTTGATGTACTCGATTTGAAACTGTCATCAAGAATATATCAGTGCAAAAAAAAAGTAGTTTTATTTAGAATAATTATTTAGTTTTCCTCTGTGTAATCAAGGTAGAGATAGATGTACATGTATGAAGTCATGTCCATATAAAACATATGATTAAAAGAGTGTGCCATATAGCAATATTTACAGTTTTTGTAAATTATGTATTAAGCAATGAATGCAATACCTTATACAGTAAAATTTGTTGTGAATTTTATAATATTTACAGTTTATTGGTATATTTTCTATATTAACCAGCTTTTTCATATTGTCAAAGTTTTGTATTTAGTGATATATACATATAATTATATAATAACAACATTCCTGTTTATTTTGTTGTTTAACCCCCTATTTATGTTTTCTATATTAATTTACAACTTTTGATTTTGTTATTGGATTAAACTGAAGGAACAGCTTATTTGTTTTTGTCTTCATTTCTTATATATATATATATATATATATAGTATAATTTTCACTCATGACATATATATATATATAATTATATATATAATTTTTAGTCACCAATAGTAATTCAGATTTCAAAACAGTGACATTTCTTCATTATAGGTAATATTAAGTGTTAATATATATATATATATATATATATATATATATATATATAGACAAACAAATTTGTTTATTTCTCTACATGGTAAAATTTAAATTTAAGATCCTGTATGTTGTAAGGATGTAACAACACTTAAGTGAAATTTTATATATTTTATGTATATGATTATTCTTCTAAAACAATTTCCAAATATCCAAGAATAATGTTAAATATGTACAGTACTGAAAATGTTCATATGCATTATAATGTAATACTTAAAATCTATGCATTCATTTCTTACTGAAAAAAAAATTGACCCAGACTTTATAGAAAATAAATTTCTAATTACTTCCCTTTATTAACATGAAATATCTTTACAAAAACTTGCAATATTGATAAATCATCATTTGAGCATCAGATTTACGATATAAAACCATAAAAAATGTTACAGTATCATTAAGAATAATTCATAACATTTATCCTCAGATAGACATCAGTTGCAATTGACTTTACCATGGGTGCAAGTTTTCAGGCATATGCCTTAAGTTCAGCTTTTTTGTGACAAATTCGATTATGTTTTACTATTAAATTATGTAGGGAAATGATAATGAATAAAGGATTTCAGGTTTCCAAATTTTCAACTTGCACCTTTGCTTTACTCAAGTTGAGATAAAATAGCCTTCGATCTGAAGGTAACACTGTTCTAAAAATAGATTTTACCTAATCACCACTACATCACCTGTACTGACTTTCGGACAAGCGATTAGGGAGTACAGATTATACATGATGTTAAGCAGCGTATATTTACTTTGTTTACATGCGATATTTTAAGATATTTAATACAATTGTAGAAAGCAAACAAGTTGGAAATGGAATTTAGTGTGAAAAGAAAAGGGACAACTAAACACTGTACTTTTTCTTAAAGTTAAATTTAAATATATGTCTCAATCTGCTCTGGCCTCTATAATTATATACATCTTTACACCTAATAAAAAAGTTAAAGAAATGCACCAGTAATTGGCGATGATTTTAACGTGAGACATATCATATCCAAGGGAAATAAAAAAAAACAAATGTATTTTATTGTCTATACGTAAACAGTGTATGTTAAATCACGGACCTCAATTGTCAATTCAGTTTAAATATACATGCAAGCATGCATGTACGTATACATTATTTCTGATTAAATAATTACTAGAATCGGCATTTTTTATTAGGTATAAAAGGAAAAATGCAGAGTTTTGCTTATTCTTAAATTATCAAAGAATTAAGATATTAATCATTAAACTAATACTCGTATGTAGCACTTTGGTGGATATATTCATGACATCTCCAATAGATCTACGTATTTTACATAGAAACAAAATTTTGTACGGTATATCTGGGACAGAAAGATACACTGTCATGTTTTAGTCCCAATTTCTTAAAATCATACCATATCATCTCGATCACCATTTCAAATTTTGATAAACAGTGAAACAAAAACAAATTGCCAAGCACCGGCATTTTTCTCAAATTCACATGCAGGGAAAGTATTGCCCCGAAAGCTATTTCTTTTTCACCTTATCATCTTTATTTTCCTGATGGTTTTAAACCATCTCAATCATGCTTTACGCAAGTTTAACTCCAGGAACATCATTTCCATTGAGAGAAATGAGAATAAAAGAATTCGTAACCATTATGTTGTATAATCTTCATGTAGATTAACCAGTTTCCTTGTCCGAAACTTATCGATATGTGGCTATTTTTAGAACAGGTCTGTTATCAGTGACGTATACGATGCTTATCTCAGATCGTTCCCTATTCTGTATAATTCTTTTTTCTAAACACTTTGACCCTTTTCTACAAGTATAAATAAGCCAACCCAGCATGCACATTCTGACATATGGGGCCCCAGACTGTTTGGTAGCTGGATTTTTTTTTGTCCCACGCCTTTTCGAAGAAAAATGGGCCGAGTATATAGAAATACTAGTAGGCTCCGTCCGTCTGTCCATCACATTTCGTGTCCATTCCATAACTTTGTCATTTATCAAAGGAATCTGAAATAACTTGGCACAAATGTTTGTTATAATAAGACAATGTGTTAAGCGCAACAACCAGACCCGTACCTCCAGGGTCAACATTGTGTATTTGAGGGTACATGTCGTGTCCGGTCCATAACTTAATACCTTTGAAGGGATTTTGTAAATACTTGCCACAATCGTTCACAATAATGCGACGATGTGTAATGCGCACAACCAGTCACCTACCTCCAAGGTCAAGGTCACGCTTGGAGGTCAAAGATCAACATAGTCTGTTATAGAGTATATATTGTGTCTGGTCCATAACTTTTTCCTAGATCAAAGGATTTTGTAAATAATTAATAAATAGTCACTTTAATAAGAGGATGTGTCATACGCATCACCTGCATCCCTACCTCCAAGTTCAAGGTCACTCTTAGAGGTCAAAAATTAACATAGTCTGTTTTAGGGTATACTTTGTGTCCGATCTAGAACTTCTTTGGGTTTTGAAATACCTTGGCACAAATTTCACAATAATAAGAATATATGTCAAGTACAACACCTGCACTCCTACCTCCAAGGTCAAGGTCACACTTAGAGGTCAAAGGTTAACAGAGTCTGTTATATGGTATATTTTGTATCACATATATAACTTCTTCATAAATCAATGGATTTTGAATATACTTGCCACAAATAGTCAGAATGATAAGATGATATGTCATGCGCAACACCTGTGTCCCTACCTCCAAGGTCAAGGTCACACTTAGAGGTCAAAGATTAACATGATTGATTTCTGTAAGTCTGTTATTATATTATTATATGGGGTATGTTTTGTGTCCAGTCCATACTTTTTTCATAGATTAAGGGATTTTAAAAATACTTTGCACAAATAATCACAATAATAAGACGATATGTCAGGCGCAAAACATGGGTCCCTACCTCCGAGGTCAAACTTGCAGAAAATTCAAAGATTAACATAGTCTGTAATAATATATATTTTGTGTCCGATCTAAAACTTCTCCATAGTTCAAGGGATTTTGAAAATACTTAGCACAAATAGTTACAATAATAAGACGATATGTCATACACAGCACCTGCACCCCTACCTCCAAGGTCAAGGTCACAGTTAGAGGTCAAAGCTTCACATGATAGATTTTTAAATTCCGTGTTTCATTTTAGTTCTTTAAAAAAAATATTAGTGCATTTGCAGATCTAGCATTGATCATAATTGTGGAGTGAAAGTCCTGAGTGCCATACCTCAATCTTTTGAAAAAGCACAATTTTATGCTTCATATAATAGATAAATACAAAATCCCTAAAGAAAGTCCAACACGGCAAAATTGAAAATGTTGCAGGCACTGGTTGATTGAGCCCGTTCATGGACGGTACTGTCAAGTGCAAACTACTGTCCACGCCCCCTAAACAGAATTCAACATTTAAACATGAAATAGTAAAATTTTCAATTTAGAAACATTCGCATATGTGTTCATACGGCTGTTATCATGGAACCTTCAATGTGACACAGTAGTGCCATTCCATGAAAAGCGGCGTATGGTCCCCAAGTAACAGAATGCTTTTGCCCTAAACGAGAAAATCAATAGGGGTCTTCTACCCAATATGGGCAATCATCATATGAAGTTTGAATACTGTGGGCCAAATGGAACTTAAGTTATGCTCTGGAAACCAAATTGCTAACGGACGGACAGACTGACGGACATCCGGGGGTATAACATAATATGTCCGAAATTCTTTCGGGCATATAAAAAAGCAACGACAATGACCAGCTTGATTTTGTTTCAACTTACAATACACAAAGAACTATTTTAAACAACCAATATGTGACCCTCTTCAAAATGTGTGTATTGAAGTTTTGGATGAAAAAAAAAGTCTAGTTTTAATAACTCCTGTGACCTACTTATTCATGGGATTGGAACCTTAAACCATTTAAACAGAAGGCCACCAATGTATATCCTGTGAAGTTTAGTCAAAACCCACATTGATTTAGGGCTAGATGTTGTGGATAATAAGGAACCACTGACGGTGGGTATGCATTCTGCCATCACAAATGCTCACCTCTGAGCACTTTGTGCTTAGGTGAGCTAAAGTGCCTCAAAGAAACCTCTACTTGCTATGATTTGACTACCATTCACTTACCTTGTTTTTTTTCTCTTTTATATCATCAACTTTACATTTTCGCTTTCTTGGTGTTGAGAAAGTAGGATAGACCTTATTTTCTGGAAAATATTTTTTGTTAATATAATTATATATTTCATGATTTTAAGCAGAGATATAGCATAATACAGGCCTATATTTGCTTCCAGTGATTTTCTTTCAATTTCAATACAACCTAAGGCTTAATTCCTGAAGGAGAAAATATAGCATCATGCATGACAAATCAGGAAAAGGGGGAACATGAAATCAAATTCCAACAACTAAGAATGGAATTTACCCATACATTTTTATAAAAGTTTCAATTTAACATGGATGGTACAATTAGCACAGGCTTTCTATTGTAACATTTTTTTTGTCTTTCAGTTCAACTAATTGATACAAGTCAGCTGCTGTTAAGTCATGGGTCTGCTAAAGACTGTGCACACTGAGGAAATGTCAGCGGAAAATATTAAAAATTTAGGGGAAAATATACCTAATTTGGGCTTAGGGAAACAACCTTTAATCGGCTGTAAAATATAGGGAGAGAAATCACTAGCTTCTGTCAATGCAACGTTAAATACATTGCTTATGCAGTTCAAAGTTTACAAAAATCTAACTTTCAATGACTTTTATGCACATTCTATATATCATATTATATTATATTTAAACACAGACACGGTACGTTATGACACTGAAATCAACTTGATTTCGGTAACTT